TCATTAATTTAAAAAATAGAATGCTCCAAAGCTGCACCAAAGATACAGTTGACAACGCATTTGAGAAATCTAATGTAATTTTTCAATTATAAAATACTTTAACATAACCAGCGTTAAAGTTTTTTTGGATAAATTTTTACTTATTTTGCAAAATGTTGAAAAAATCAATTGTAAAGGACTTTAATTGTTAATAAAATGTGACCAAAGTATCCCACTACGATCCCTAGTGAAAAAAATTATATATAATTTTATATGATTATATATAAATCATCCTATTTAAGGAGTGAGCTGTTAAAATTTCAAGGCGATCCGAATATTTTCCCGAGAGTTAAATCATTTCTTTATAAAACTAGGCTTAAATTTGAATTGTTTATAATTTTCTGCTATTGGTCAGACGTGGATGTTTTAAAATATATAGATAAATGTCTTTGAAGTTCGCCGTTAGTCACAACTTGCAAATAAATAGCTATGATTCCTGATTGCAATGGTCAAACGGGAAACTTTACTTACTTACTATTGTTCAAGCCTAAGAATGTCGACATATATATATATATATCGATATGTATCAAATAAGAAAATCACTAAACAATGTAAAAGATCTGGCCAGATCTGCCTTAGCAGATCTGGCCAGATCTTTAAATTGTCTCTATCTGACGAGATCTGGCCAGATATAATCAGATCTGACCAGATCTGGTCAAATTTTAAAATTGCCCAGGTAAAAATGATTATATATAATTATATATACTCATACATAATTATATACGAAAAATGGCCATATATAATTATATAAAATTATATAGAATTATTTTCATAAAAAAAAAAAAAAAAAAAACCGGCGCGCACGGGAACCGAACCTGGGACCTGACGCTTGAGAGACTAATTCATTACCTGTTTACCAACGAGACTTGCTTGAAACGAGAGTAGGTAGAGTTTCTAATAACTATAATTAATAGCCTTAGCAGATCTGGCCAGATCTGTTTATATATGGCCAGATCTAATCCGTTTTTCCCGGGTTTTTCATAAGATTATATGAGATGTTACAAAACTATACTTTAAATTAATTTGAATTTTTTATACTTACACAGTGTAGTTCTGATTTTAATTAATTTTTTTATATCTTTTATAACAAATGTATAGATAATTCGATTAAGAGAGACTGCTTATTTAATTAGAAAAAATGACTGACGTTAAATATCTATTGTTATAGATAGTTAAGTATATTTGATAACAATTAATATAAGCAGTTAATACAATATTATAACTTATGACAAGTTTCACAGATATCATTTAAAAGAAGAGATCTATGAGTATGACAAGACAGAAAAGAAATGTATATTTTTTAAATTCAATTACTCTATTGACTGTTTGTTTCAATAATCGTTAAAATTTATATTACTTATTCTTAATATAAGAGAAATAGTAATCATTTTTGTTCATACTCAATCTATAGTTTAAATGTTATGTTGATTAAGGGGTCGTTTAACTTTTCTTCCAATTAAATATTTCTCATAAAATTGTCCATTTACAACTATTTACTTGAATTAAACTATATTAATAAATTTATCAGTGTCAATTATATTCAGACTATGAGATTATGTACGGAATATAACGTAAGTCGGTATTTTGTATTATATGCTAAGCCTGTAAGTCTGTTCCGGCCGAAAAGCGCTATAGTCATAGCTTGTAAGATTTAAATTTTTTTATGCTAACTGGCTTACTAAGTTTAGTAAGTACTTACTTCGGCCAAACACGCCCATTGTTTTCACCCCGTTTAACAAAAATCGAGTTTTCATCAGATCTCGACGTTTTGAGGTCTTAGGAAGCTTCTCTGACGATTTTTACGATGGTGTCTGTATGTCTGTATGTATGTATTTTTTTTAAACGAGGAGGGGGGGGGACCAAAATGCTGACCGTAAGATAGACGGTGTGGCTTAATGTATATAGAATAAGTGAAAGGAAATTTAGTATAGACCGGATAGCTCAAATGGTAGAGTAACCGACATGTCTTCGGAAGATTCTGGGTTCGAATCCCAGTCCGAGCTATCTAATAATTTTTTCTCGCATATTCTATAAACTCACATTAAGATGATCCTCTCCACAATCCTTTCTCAATCCTTTCCTACTAAAATATCCTGTTACGTGAATATTGGAACGCTTCACGTAATAATTATCCGTAACTCCTATTCTTTCCCGCTTCACAGCATTATTTATATTTGTTATATTTGTATTTGTTTTACTTATTATTATTTATATTTGGGATATATATATATATATATAATTATTGAAAAAATCTTTTTAGTAGATTTCATAGAAATCTAACTATTGCATTTGTCCTCATGACGGAACTTTCGAAAAATTTTGCTATTTCCTGACTCAGTTCGTGAAGTAGTTCAGAAACTATAGGGTTTCAAAATTTTTTAAATCGTAAAAATTCATATTTTGGGAGTTTCTTTTGCGGATAACATTTGAATGAAATAACTTAACGAATTTTCGTGCCTTGCATTTTAAAGCCCATTTAACGAGCTTTAATTTTCATGTCATTTTATTCTCCTAGACTGAAAATACCGTCTTCGTCTATAGGTATTTATTGAAATTTTACTATTGCATTCGTCTTTCGTAACTTAGGGAAAAGGGGTTCTATCAATGTGATTGAAGTATTTGTATTATCAGTGTTGTAATTTCACTCAAGTAGGAAATCTACTTCTATTTCGGCTGCCAAAAGGCACTTTTTTACAGTTCTGACTGCATCTACCCTCTTCAATATAATATCGTACTTAAAGGATAACCTGATTGGTAGATTACAATCTAGTTTGGTTTTGAGAACAAAGTTGATGACAATTGGAAAAGCTATTAAAATGTAATATATAATTCTTATTGATATCTTTTTAATTCAAGGTTTAATTGCAAGTTGCTCACGATTCAAATTCAACTATTTAATAATAAGTAACACATATAATTTGGATAAAAACAAAAATTCCGTGAATTGGTATAGTATTTTTAACAGTTTAAAATGTCTTAGGTCGGTTTTGTACTGATGTGCATAAATATAAAAGCTGATAAAATTATACATTAAATTCGAGATAATCTCTGTGAATGAGACCATCTTGCGCCTAGAACAACCACTCGCACACTGTAGTCTCAAACTGTGGGACTTGAACGTTGAAATTTTTCTAAGTTCCTAAATTTTTCACATAGCGAACATTACTAGTAGAATCAAGAGAAAATCCATACTAACTTCTATTGACGGCTACCAGTCTTAGTTTTCATGTCGAAATTTATAAAAAATTAGAGTTTGAAAACTCAAAAAGAAATTCGACCTGAAAATTTTACAAATACAATCTTTTTCAGCGTATTTTCAAACTGCATTGCAATAGAATACTGAGATCTATATAAAAACTCGATTATGTAATCTTACGTAATCAACACAAGCGCGAGTGTTTTAGCATATTATATTTGTCGTTGACCTTGGTAACTTGTGACGCACCCGAGTCTCGGAAGATGATAGTGAAACTCATACACAGTAAAAAATTTTTCGTCATTGTGTAAAGTGTAAAAATGTTTGTGTAGAATTTAACATTTTAGTGTGTAGAATTTAACATTTTAGTATGTTGATTCAACACAATAGAGTGTTGATTCAACACAAATTATGTAAAAAACGTCATCAACACAAATTTTTGTGTTAAATTTGACGAAAAATTTTTTACTTTTTATTATCAACATACACACATACACACACGCACGCAACCTTAGAAACCGGTGAAAACTCCAACACTCAGAAGTGACGACATTTTAGGTGCGTCTCTGCTGTAATCGTCACGTTACGCACAATTTAAGGGCTTGGCTCCACCCAGATAACGTCAGCAGCCTCCCTTCGTCACATCGACATCTCTACTAAAATATTTATAGTAGCAAATTGTGAAACGTACATTCAGCAGGGAGCACTCTCACAACTTCCGCATGGTGAGACGTGAAAAATATTAGCATCAAATAAACCCGGTGACATATATTAAACATACTGGCCTCGAATTGTCTGCTACGCTCGTTAAAAATAACATTACACTAATACTAATGGCTACCAACATTGACGTTGACTAAGGTCATGTTCGCGGCTCTGCTCGCACCGGTTTTTTCCGTGTGCGAGCGAGATAGGTGGTTGTTTTTATGGTACTATTTTTACATTGTTGATAGTGTACACGCAGTAATGTTATGCGCACATGGAGAGATTAAATACCACAATAACAAAATGATTAACTAAAGACGAATGAAGAACAAGTTGAATAACCGACTATTTGCGCAGTAATGTTAGAACGGATGAACGGCCGCGGGTTATATGTAATGAGCAGGCATGAACAGGCTTGATCAGGTCTGTTCAGGTCTGAGCGTATTTAATGTTTCAGACATGAACAGACATGAATAGGCTTGATCAGGTCTGATCAGGCCTGAGCGTATTTAATGCTTCAGACATGAACAGGCATGGACAGGCTTGATCAGATCTGATCAGGTCTGAGCGTATTTGATGCTTCAGATATGAACAGGCATGAACAGACATGAGCAGACATGAACAGGCTTGATCAGGTCTGATCAGGTCTGAGCGTATCTAACGGTTCAGACATGAACAGGCATGAACAGACATGGACAGGTCTGATCAGGCCTAATTTCAGGCCTGATCATACCTGATCAGGTCGGATTTCAGGTCTGATCAGATATGAACAGGTCTGATCAGTCCTGATCATTTTTTCCCGGGTAGGTATTGTTTTCAACTTGTTTATTGCGTTGTTCTGTGTAAGTAGCACAGTGAAATTTGGCCTATTGAACTTAGGAATGTCCTAGATTAAGGAAATGAAATGACTAGACTTCAGTAAACATTTATTAAGAAAACTAAACCTAGTTACAAATATAATGAGATTTATGAGTATCTTATCCGTGTTACAACTAGTTTTCACACAACATTACGATAGTACTTAAAATTCTATGTTATCACATATGCTACAACAGTAATATTATGATACATTTTTCCTCGTGATAGCGTTATTGAACCTAACAAGAGACAAAGAGTATAGAACTATATAGTAACAGAAATAGTAATGTTCAGGCGACATTACTTGGGAACGTAACTGGCGTCGAATGTCTGTCACAATATTCGGTAGCGATATCCATGCGATACGGTTCATTTGATAAGTAGCGAAATCCGACGCACAAAACGTGGCGGTTTTACTACTTCCATGGGTACTATGTACAACAATAGGACCCATAGGAACTTGATGAACTTTCAGCGCTCGTTTGGCCATTTCACTTAGATGGTTCACTTTCAGAATGAATTGAAAGAACTTAGTCACATCACAAGGAACGTCACTCACAGTCCAGTCACTGTATATAAAATGGCAGAGTTGACGTGAAGGTCCGTTTCCATGCTTCAGATGTAACTCCGTTACCACGAAATTATTAATTTTCTTTGTTTTCACGGTTTTCATTTGGTACTGTCCAGCTTGAAGAACGCCGTCTTGTTCTTTTGACCAGTACTGGTAACACTGGTTGGCATTGTGTGATGTTGGTCTTGATAGCGATACGATGATATAAATGTGTTCTTTCCACAAGGTCTTGAAAAAGTCTTCCACTGAATCCCCTGTTGGGTGTCGAGTGCATAAAAATTTCTTCTCATCTTGAAATCCATCAACGTAGTAGACATTGCGGCTTTTGTGTTCGTCTATGTTTTCAAAAACCCCAGATGTGCCGATTTCTTGGTTGCGTGTAATCTGATGATATTCTTGCTGTACGATTTGTTGAAAATTTGGATAACATGCACTGATGCACAATTGCACAGCGCCATTCATTTTAAATTACTTTTATTTCGCTACTGTTCCTACCGAATATTCACTGCAGCGAGCCAGATCTAATCACGGCGACAGACGTCAATAAAATAAGACCAGAGCGTTTAATCTAGTGTTTATATATCAGAGCTGAGCGCTAATAGACTTGAAATACGGTGGCGCGTAAACACGCGAGCGTATGCAGTGTTAATATCAATGTCGCGCGCATATCGATTTAGCTATCAGCACAGAATAATATTGTGTAAATTTCAGTTTCGGTAAAATTTCATGGATAGAAGCTTTTTATTATTATAACATGTAGATATTCAAGGGTAGAAAACCACATAGACGGTATATTTGCATGATTGTAGTCTTATGATTTGAGATTTCTGCATCTATCTCCTCAATTTCATTCTTTATAACAGAGATATTGAGATTGAGCTGGAAGAAATGCTTCTATGATTTTAAATAGTTGATCCTGTCACGATACAACTTAATTTCTATTCGGGTAGCACCAGTTATTCGAATAATAGGTGACTGCAACAGAAAATAGAACCACTTATTTACATTTGATAATTGAACCAGGGCTTTGAATTTAAATAATTTTACTATTTACTTTGAGAGGAAATTAAAAATAGTATACTTATACGTTCTTTCATTTTTATTTTGCTATCAATAACAAAATTTAGTAACTGAAAACCTAGCCGAGAATGCGTTCTTGAACACAATAATTTTCATTTGCAAACAATGCACAATATAAACGTCTAACTTTTAGCTCCTACTATAATGCATATGAAAATTTATATCTTCCCGAGAAAAAATATTTATATATAATTATATATATTTATATATAAATTGGTTATATATGATTATATATGAAAAATGGCCAAATATAATCATATCTAATTATATATAATCTTGCTTGGCTGTATATTGCTCTATATATAGTCATATATAATTAT